AATCAGCATTTAATAACCAAGTATGTGAATTTTCCTTTTTCTTCCTTTTTTTTTTTTTTAATCAATTTACTGTTAATCTATCATTTAGAAGATCAAATAGCCATGAAGCCTCCTTGGCTCTCATTAATTTTGTGACTGCCTATCAATTCCCACAGCATATTTATAACACCAGAGCAGGTTTCCTGAAGTGCAGGGACAAGCCTTGTCTGTTACAGGTCAGGCCACTATGAAAATGCACACATTCACAGTTAAATCTGCCTGTGGCATGGGCAGGGCTGCTGTGCTAAACCTACATATATCTGCATGAGTCTCTGATCAAGCCTGATGATGGCCCTGCCTCCAGCGGTCTGAATTGCCTGGCATTCACCTGAAACAAAGCACAACCCCTGTCATTTCCTTGCATAACCAGAGCAGAAACTCATTTCCAAGAAAAACCCAGCTAGGCCATGCAAAGCTGCACAAACATTGAAGAGCCACAAAGATGCAACGATCCACACAGTGACTCAAAGCCAGTAACCGAGTGACTCAAAAATGCACAGTGTCTGCTTCATCTGTCTGCCATACTTAGGGTCAGCTTTCGTTTGATCTCAGAAATAAAAATGAGAAAGGCACTAGAAGGCAAATGGCACAGAGCAGCCATGGCGCTCCCGCCTTGGTGAGCCTGGCTTTGGGATGGGCAGCGCTGGCATCTGGGTCCGCTCGGATCACTGCACTTCTGACACTCAGCAAGGTGCTCACCGCGCAGGGAGCAGCGCGTTGGGCAGGGCAGCGGCAGTGCCTGGGCTCCTGCAGAGCTCCTGTCCACAGGCCCTGCGCTGGGCTCAGAGCAGGGCACCAGCGCACTGGGTCCCTCTGTCAAGTAAACCAGGAACATCAACCCCAAACGCCTTCGTGACTGTGACATCCTGTGGGCCTCCCACAATACCGGTGCCTGCGAATGCACTTGGGCAAGCTGGTCCCGGCTGTGCTGTCAGTCCACATTGCCCTCCCCAGCATGGACCATTGCAGCACGGGGAAGGGACGGAGTGCAGAGCCTGTGTGCCCTTGCACACTCAGCCTGGGCACTACATTCCTTGACACTTGCTGAGAGACACAGGGTGATCTCCAGGTTCATGGAGAGCTGGAAGCACTGGGGAGTGACAGGCCCAGCAGCCACAGTGAAAGACTCGCAGCCCTGTTACAGATGCTGAGAGGAGTGTTCCACAATGCCTGAGTGTTAATGACTCCTGGGTACAGGCACAGCAAAGAGAGACACCTTGTCCAGCCTTGCGCTTTGCTTGCTTACATCCAGGTAAACAGTATGTAAGTGCATACCCTATGTTTGTTATGACCTCAGAGACTGACTGGAGCTGTTGCATGCCTTGTTGTGGCAGCTGCCCCCTTGATGGCCTTGGAGCCACAGGGACAGCGACCAGCCAATGGAGATGGGATGGAAAAGGGCATGGTGGCTTTGTGGGGCAAGGCAACACCATGATCATGCAGTGAGTGGGGTGCGCAGCACCGGGCATCTTTTTCTCTCAGAGCACAGACAGCCCAACCCCTCACATGACTGAATTTGAGCCCCAGTGATGGAAATCCATCATCTGCCCAATCTTCTGCAGCAACAACTGCTCATTTCCTTACAAAGTGGTGAAAGCAGGGTGTGTGGGAGAAGTATCGGGGGGTGTTTGGGGTACCTAAATCACGTGCCTTTTGCTTCAAGCTAAACTCATTGCTTCCTGACCACACCAGCAGCAGATAGGGAGAACATGATTCCCTTCCTTTTGACATCAGCTTTGTACAGGTTTGAATCTTGTTCAGACACTTCCCCATTTACAAGCTTTCAGGATGTTAAAGAGACATCCATCCTGTCAAACGGGAGGACTGGAGCAAGCTGCTTCTCACAGGGTGTATTTCTAGAGCTTTCTTTTGCTTTCCTCTGGATCCCCTCCAGCTGATCCACTTGCCTCTGGAAACACAGTGTGCAAGACTCGAGGCCTAACAAACAGCTCCGAAGGGGGAAACAGAGGAATTTCTTCATGTGTCCTACATGTGACATTCCTGTTTATACACCATAGCAATGTTAGCTTTTTTCGCAACAGGATGACATTGTGGACTTGAGTTCAGTTTGTCAGTCACAATAACCTCCAGTTCTTTTCAGCAGCAGGGCTGTATCGTCATCATGCTGCGCTCATTGTTCCTGTGATTATTTATTCATGTGGGACAGTCAATAAATCTGGCTGTGATGTCCAGGAGTGATTGTGCTGCAGCTCCCAGCTGCCTCACATTGGAGAAATATGAGGCAGTTCATGGCTTGGTCCTTCCACTTCACCCTCGAAGTTCCCAGGGAGGGCACTGAACCAGGTCAGAGCTCTTGGCCCATGGCAAACCAAGCAAGGCCGTTCCATCCCGTTTGTGCAGCAGCAACGTTAGGAGCAGCTGGACACAGCGGAGCCAAAAATAAATGAAAGAAAAGCCAAAGTGAGGATGAAAGTTAATGATGGTGTCCTCAGTTCCTTCTCTCTTCTGCTGACTGCTGCTGCTGCAGTGAGAACACGGACCCAGGATCCAGCGCTGACCAAGCTCAGCTGTCGTACCTGGAGCAGGAGTGAAGTGACACAAGGCATTTTTTAGACAGTTCCCCATACAGCAGCAGAAATGGAATAAGACTGACTCAGTTCTGCAATACCTTGAAGTTTGTACCTCACTTGCTAGCAGCAACACTGTAGTAAACCTGAATGCATCGCCAAATCAACAGAGCAGCGCTTCCCAGCTCTGTCTTCGAACAAGTAACTCCAGCACATCAGAAATTCCAAAGAAAGCTTCAGCTCGGATTGTTGGATGACCTGCATATGAATGAAACACTTATTTCATCCCCTCTTGTGACTCATGATTATGCAACTTTGCTATTCATGTCCCTCTCATGGCAGGTAAAAGCTCTACTGCAAATGGCACTGCCCATGATCCTAAAAGTATACAAAGGGTTGCTGAGGCTTTTAAGCTCATCCTGTCCTTGGCAGCGAGGAGGCCTGGGTCTTGGCACATGAACACGAGTGATCAACACATGCACAGCAGAAGGTGTGCGCCACAGCCTCGCTGCTGAGCATCTGCACGATCCCCAGGGCCCTCGTCCTAAACTCCCTTTGGTCTTCCCATTTCCTAACTTATCATGATCGTACAGCTCCTGTCCCCTCTATCTGAACTGGGGGTTGAACAAAGACTTCTGTTCTATTTCTCCCTTACCCCAAACTAAGTGAATTTTAAGGTTACTTTTCAGATCTCTGGTTCTTCCTGGAGCCAGGTGAAATGCTGAGGAGTGCTCTCCAACAGTGCTGAGGCGCACAAGCACAGCAGTTCACAGACTATCAAATCTATAGGCTGCTGCTATTGCTCCTGAAAGGACAGAAGGGTGAAGCTACTTCAGTGCTGCCACCAATCTTACAGATGGAGGAAACGTATTTCTGCCTCTTATTGACCAATCTGAACCTCTCAGGGCACATATTCAGACGCTGTGTCTGAGGCCTCCCAGTGTAACCCTGCTTCCAGAAAAGTTTCTGTTTTCCTAAATTCAACAAAAGTCTTTCTTTTGTTGAGAGCTAAAGCTCTTCCAGGCAGTGTTTGGTGAAACTGCTGGATGAAATCATTCACTCCGGCTTTCCAAGCTGTCCCTGTGTTTCCAAGTTGTTTTTCTCCCAGGCCAAACAGCCTTTCTAGAGCCGGCCCTGAGGACCTTGTGTGTCACTCGTGCACGGGCGAGCTCTTGGGCACTTGCATTCACTCCTGCAACCACCAACAAAGGAGCAATTCATCGCCTGTGCTGAAAGGTGTTGGCTGTGGCAGCAGCCTCCTGGGACGGGACGGCACCAGTCCCACCATGCAGCAGGATATGACTGTACATGGAAATGGGGCAGCCAGCAAGAAGGTCGTATCATATTGCCTGAAGTGGTCTCCAGCAGACACACAGGTCTGTTTGGTTCCTTACGGATAAATACAAGGGAACGCGCTTGCACACGGCCTGCAGAGCGCTGGCAGAGGCACTACAGGAAAAATCCCAAGGTGCTGCTCCCCGTCCACAGGAGGCACAGGCTCCACATAACCGGGAAGCTGGAGCGGCAACAACGTGCCGTGTGTTGCCAGGGGAAGCACAGCACCGGGCAGGGGCAGTCGTTCTGCTGTCCCAGTGACTGTGGGGCAACTGATGCGGGGGAGCTGGGGAAGGGCAGCTCGTACAGCGAGGGCTGACCCGGCTGCGGCTCGGGTTTGCGGACAGAGCAGAGCAGCAGGACCCGGGTTCCGGGGCGCACGAGCTGAACGGCCCCGGCTGGCACCGAACTCACAGCGCAGGAAGAGGCGCCCCGGTGCCGGAGCCGCCGGCGCTCAGCCCCCAGCGGCTGCAAACACTCGAGACCGTGCGGGGGCACCGGGACCCGAGCGGGATCGGGCGGGGCGGGATCGGGGCGTGCGCGGGTGCCGGGGGAGCGGCCCCGTCCCGCCCTCTGCACGCCCTTCCTCCGGGCCCGCAGGAGCCGCGCCGAGACCTCGGCAGAGCCCGGACGGAGGGGCCGGGCCATGGCGGAGCAGAGCAGCCCCCGAGCCCCGCCGGCGGGACGCGCCTGGGAGGGCGGGCAGTGAGGAGGGGACTGGCGGGAGGGCGGCGGGGCGGGCCGGGCCCGGCCGGGTCGGGTCGGGTCGGGGCTCGACGGGCCGGGCAGGCCGCTGTAGGAGGCCGGGACGGGGCGGGGATGGGGACGGGACGGGACGGGAAGGGCAGGCGGCTGTGAGGGCTTGGGAGGAGGGGGGAAATCGGGACGGGGAGGGATTGGGCAGGCGGCCGGGAGGGCGGTGGGATCGGGGCGGGCGGGTGGCTGTGAAGAGCCTGGGCCGGGATCGGAACGGGGCGGGCAGGAGGAGTGAGGATGGGGACGGGACGGGGCGGGCAGGAGGAGTGAGGATGGAGACGGGGGGGCAGGACTCAGGACGGGGCGGGCAGGAGGAGGATGGGGGGGGCAGGAGGAGTGAGGATGGGGACGGGGGGTCCTGGCGCGCCGTTGCTATCCTCGCCGCCGTCTCTCCGCAGCGCTGTGCCCGGAGCGGGGCTGGAGGGGCCGCCGAGCAGACGCGCCGCCGCCCCGGGACCGCTGTGGAGCCGCCGCTGCCGGTACCTGCGCACGGGCAGGGGTGAGCGGAGCGGGACCGCTGGAGGCGCTTCCCCCCTGCCCCGTGCCGGGACCGCCCCGGCCGCCGCAGCTCCCGTGCCCACGCTCTCTCTCCCCTCCAGCGTGCTGCCAGATGGTGCAGGCGCTGCTCGCCGTGCTCATCCTGGTCTGCGCCTCCGTGTCCTGCGGGCCCCCGGGCGGCTACACCGGCCTGCCCGACCTGGGTGGCATCTACTACTACCAGTATGGCGGCGCCTACAGCGGCTTCAGCGGGGCGGACGGGGAGAAAGCCCGGGAGCTCGACCAGCGCTTCTACGTGCTGAAGCTGCCGGTGGCGAGGGCAGCGATGGCCGTGGGAGGCTGTCTCCTGGCCGTCTCCTGCGTCCTTCTTTCGCTTGGGGTTCTGCGGTTACCGTGGCGCTTCCCAGCGTGGCTGCTGCTAGAATGTGCCCTGGATGCAGTGGTCGCAGTGGGCATGGTGCCTGCTCTGTACTACTACTTCCACTTTCTGCTGGAGGTTTATAATTCATCAGTGTGCAAAGAGAGAGAGCAGCTTTATCAAAGCAAAGGCTACCAGGGCTTTAGGTGCAGCCTGCATGCGGCAGAGATTGCGGCTGGCCTGTGGGGCTGCATGGTTGCCATGGCATACCTGCTCAGTGCAGGCCTTGCAGCCAGGGCTTTCACAGCCATTCGGACACTGAAGCAGAAGCCAGTGCAGTTAGAATGATCCCTCCACTCCAGCACTGGCCATGATTTTTGCCACCCTCCTTACACAGGAAGGCAAAACCTCCTTACTGCTTTTCCTCACTTCTGAGCAGTGCATTCTTGATGCTGCCCCAGAGCACACACTAAACATGGGAGAGTGAAGCAGTCCCTAACCTAGATTTGCATTACTGGGTTATCAGTGGACATGAGGGTAGACCCAGGGTCTGTGTCTGGCGGCTGTCCCATAGCAGAGTGTGACCATCCTGCAGATGAACAGCCTTTCCCTCCCCTCCACCGGAGCCTTGCTCCCTCCAGTGAGGTCTTGCTCCAAGTACTGCTACTACATCCCTTCTGTGGCTGAGGCTCCTTACAAAGGGCATGGGACAGTTCACTGAGAAGAGAGGCCAGTGGTTGTGGCATCTTGTTGCTGCTTTCCTGCATGTCTGTTAGAACTAAGGGCCTCTTGAACATGGTGTGTATGGAGCCATCAGACAACCCTGAAATAAAAAGGTGCAACACGATCAATACACTCTGCCCAAGATGTGATTTGATGCTTTTCATATTCCTGCAGGGGGCACCGTTTTGTGTAAAATGGTCCTTTACAGAACTTGTGTCTAACAGTTTTGCTTAAGAAGATGCCCCATGTTGGGATTATAAAATGAAAGCTTTAAGAGCTCAAAGATATGGTTCAAGATAGAAGTATATTGTTTTCAAAATACATTTTTAATGTACAAGCTGGGGAAATGACATGCTGCTCTTGCACTTCATAAAAAAAAGGATAAACTTTACTTTTTAAAAAAACTTCTATAGGAAATTTTTATCAGGGAAAAGAGGAGCACTAGAGACACAAAATCATGCCTCAGAATGAAATGTCACTTCAGAGCAGTGCCCACTTTCTATGGATGTGCATTTTGCATATGAAGGTGGATCCACCACTGGTCTCTTAGACCTGTTCTGCCCACATTAAAAAATCCCCAAAACCCAACAACCAAACTAAACATACCAGAAACGTGCTGTGTCCTGGACAGAGCTCCAGTATCACTGGCACCAGTGGCTAAATCCTCACAATTACCAATTCCATGGAACACTGTCAGAAATATGAAAGTAGAACAAATGCTAAATAGTAACATTCAGTACTTGGGGTTGTTTGCTTTCTCCTCCCTTTTAGTAGCTGGATGTACTCACTCTTTCAGTAGCTAGGTATGCAAATACATCCCTGCACTAGTGCAGGGATTTATGTGGACAGTTCACTGCCATCTGTACTTCCTGGCTGCTGCAGCTCCTGCTGGAGCTCTACAGTCCTGTTTAGAGCAACAGCTCAGGACTCCTAGGGCAGGACACAGAAAGCTGCCCAGTAATGGGTGTCATGAATTCCACCCTCACAGCATTCTGCCCAGTACCTTTTGTACGGAAGGCTGATGGGCAAAGTAGCACCAGCACTCAGAGAAGGAGACCCTTCAGCACAGCTACTCTTCACCATGGCTGTGTGTGACTGAGGCGTTGCAGAGATTCCCTCCAGCACAGTAATGGAATCAGAATATAGAGTTAGATGAAAGTAAAAACTCTTTTATTGCTAAGTCAGCTGAAAAGTTGATGCAAAAATATTCTTCCTTCCTGCTCTATACATCTGATTAAAGAATCAATGGAATAGTGTTTTCCAGCAATCTTACATGATTTGTCTCTCCAGAGAAATACAAACACAGGCTTCAGTGCTGAAGGTGCATTCACTGGACAATCTACTCCCTTACACAATAAAAATGGGGATTATTACAGGTGCATGCTAGAGTGGGATACAGAGAATATTCTCTTTTTTTAAAAGAAAAAGAAAAATTATAAATAGGTGGTGCGCTGCAATACTTCTTTAATATGCACTGGGTCATGAGAGTCAAGTTAAAAAAAAGTAACATTTAAAAATGTGAAAAAAGAGGAAAATAACCACATTTGAGTGTTCAGACAGCAACAGAACAGACAATGATTGCCCGAAACAAAAGAGGTGAACCTACTGCCCGAAGGAGGCCTTTGGCAAATGACAGGAACCCATGCCTGCTGGAGCGCAGGAGCTCCGGATGCCCCCAGGACTGCCAGCACGGCTGCAATGTCCTGTGCACTAGGAGGATTTCAGCTTCACAGCAGCCTGTCCCCATGGAGGGGAAGGGGAAATACTTGCTCGTTCCTCGAACAGGGTTCTACCCTCCCATCCACTTGAGGATTGTCATCGGGTCCCTGATGTGGCGCTGCTTCCACCAGGCCCATTCCTGGTGCCTGGAGCAACTTGGAGACTATCCGTTACCTGCAATCCTTTGGCCCCAGCTGCTCATCACAATAAAATCTTTATGGGTTCCTTTTTTGGAAGCCTTTCTGCACAGGGAAGGCCAGACAGGTCAGTGCCTTCAGAGTACCTGTTCCCAAGAAGTGTGGTCATCTGCAGAGCCAGAACTACTGACATGATGAACAAAGGAATTCACAGCCAAACCCAACTGTGGCTGCACGAGCACGGCACGTCTGCATTGCTCAGCAGAGCCAAGAGAGCCTGATGACCCCAAGCCAAGAATACTCCTCTCTAAGAAATGGGACATCCTTAGTGAAGTGTCTCTGTGGGCATGATGTATCTGTGCAAGAACCACAAACAAAAAACAGGGAAGAGACTGGAAAACAGGAAAAGAACTGGGAAAACACTATCTATCCCCTGCTATGAGTCCTTCATTAGACTTGCCCGTTCATATACCTGTTCCACCTACAGCAGTGCTCTCATGGAGCTTGAAATGTAAGGTGGCATTAGCAAGTAAGATGAGAAAAACAAAAGGAGAAGCTTGACTACCTCGAGGGAGACAGGAGAACAAAAGGTGGTGGAAGAGGAAAGCAGTCAGGATGTGTTGCACAGGATAAGACAACCAGTTCATGTACCAGCTTAAGCAGAGAAGGCTCTGGACTCCACCTAGTGTAAGAAAACAATCTATGTTCTGTCATGACTATTCACACCTATAGAAAATAGGAGCTGGCTGTATTAAACTCTGCTTCAAAACCAGAAACAGCACTGGAGAAAAAGGCTACACAGGAATTCCTTGCGTTCCATTCTGCTACTACCATGAAGAGGTGCAGCTCATAAATCTCTATGCTCCACTGCAGAGCTTTATGTTACTCAGTCCTTTCCCACTGAGCTAGGTAGAGCCATTCGTGACTAACTCACTGTGGACATACCAACTCTCCATGCAGTGCTACTGGTTCACACTGGTAAGGAGTTTTCCACAATCAGTGATTTTCCACTTCGGTGCAAGAAGTAGAGACCTGATTTGCATTAGATCTGCCACTCTCCTAGTGTGAGGTTTGTCCAGTCTTACTCAGAAAGAAGAGTGTATTTCTGCATCAGTCATGTACTGAACAGAAGCTGCTTTACAGCCCTGTCAGGTATCAGAGTGCTGGGCTGGGCACAGACGTTTGGTAAAATTATCACCAATGACAACTGAAAGTCAGTCACACACACTGGGCTGAGCCTTCTCTGTGTACATACATGAAGAGAACATGAAAGAGGTTTGGGGTTTAGTCTTCTGATGTTTTCTCCTCTTGTTTCTCTGCTTAACTGATCCAAATGCTGCTGTTTGAGATTCTAAGAATTAGCTTTTCTCTCATTTCCAAATAAAACAGCCATTTAAACAGCAAAAATCTGTGAGAGTTTAAACCTTGCAAAAAGGTTGGGTTGTTTCATGATTACACTGTAAGTAGCACAAGGTATATCCTAAAATGTTGCTCTCTCATGCATGGTAAAAATGCCTTTTTTTTTTTTTTTTTCCTGGTGAGAAGAAATTCAAAGTGCTTTGAAATCTCAGTAAAACTCCATTAGATTGTGTCAGTCTAATCCCCACAAGTAGTCTGCACAGTATTTCCTTCTGAGCAAGGCCTGAGTTTGATCAAAAAATACGCAACTCAAGCCTCTCAGAGCTCTTGAGAAGAAACTTTCAAGTTTTCTTCATAAATAAAATTAATAAAGAAGACAAGGCACTAGCCCACATTAGCCAGGATTACTGCACCACCAGCACGATGGGGTAGCTGCTAACCAGGTCTGCCAGAGGAGGACAGATCTGCGTGCTCCAGGGCCAGGTGGCTGCACACAACCCTTACACAGGGGACTACACAGGCCACCAACCCACAGCCTGCAAGAAAAGTCCTAATGGAAACAGTGCATCTGCAAATGCAGACTGGCTTGTTTGCCATTAGAGGGACTGTTTAAAATATCTTTTCCAATGCTGATAAGGATGCTACTAAGGTGAAAAGTTCTATTTTCCCTCTTGCATTGAAAGCTAAGCAGAAGTATGCTTTCAACTTGTCTGTGGCCAAACTGGGCATGTACCATGAAATGCAGGTTGCTGTGGATGTGGGGTATGACTCCAATTGCAGAGGCAAGCAAAGATGCTGTAGCTGACAATGCAGAAGTTTGTGTTGGTGGCACAGAGCACTGAATGCTTCCCCAGCATAAGAAGGGCAGCCTCACTGCTCACTGGCTTAGAGCAGCACACCACTGTTTACAGCTGCTTTTCCTCTTAGACACGGTACCACTGAAACAAGCACAAGCTCCTGCTTTCACCCCGTATTTTCTGGATAAGGAAGCCTCTACTGGGAAGCATCCACTAGGAGGTGGCCAAAGTGCTGCTGGGCTGGGCTGGTGCTTACAGTGAGGAGAACCAGGTGTGTGTTAATCAACCAGCCAAGAGCTGATCTTCCTGTGGTCCCTGTGAGATGCATCAGCAGGCACCTGCTCAGCACTCAGCTCATCCCACACAGCCTGATCCCATCATGAGCTTCACACTACCTGCACCAGTGCTCATCAGAACACTGGTATCCTGAGTCCTTCACTGCCTTAACAATGTCCACTGAGAAAAGCCCCCAACACACCTTCTGGGGACTGCTCTCTCCCCTGACCCTATATAATAAAGTGCTGGGCTGAAGGGGAGCAGAACAGCTTAAGTGCAATCAATAAAAGTGCTTTCAATTACTGCAGGAAACCATTCTTGGGTCAGCTGCATTGCAACTGGCTGTATTCTTTCAAGGAATAACGAAGTCAGGTGCTGGGGGGTGGGGAGCTGCATCAGAAATATTCATGGGACTCCAAACATTGCCCCTCAGCAGCCTCCTCACCCCCCCCGCCAGCCCCTAAGCTGCAGATCTGGCAGAACCTCAGGGTTCAAAGGGTTACAGGCAGGTGTTGAACATCTGCCTTCGTTCTAGTGCCTGCATGATTCCCAGGTGGTCCCTAGCACAGAGCTACTGCTCCGAGTGCTCATGGAACAACCAGGATGCTACAGTGAAAAATCAACAGCTCAGACCTTGGCACACCCCAGTTCTTCCATTAAGGAAGCAGCAGATGCCTGTACTCCTTGCAGATCCCAGCTCCCCTCGGAGGTCAAGACAGCCCCTGTGGGACAGGGCTTCCTGGGACAGACAGAGTGGGAGCAGTACTTGTAGGGTTACAAAGCTGTGTCAAACTCCTCTGGCAGAGTTGCTGCATGTTCCTCTTTCTGTTCCTGATCTGCTC